TTCCCTCTGTAGTAGCAGTATAGGTATATAAATCTGGCTCCAGTGGAGTTGTGACAGGACTCTCATTACTTATACTACTGTTTGAATAAAAATATATTTTCAGTCAACTTCTGTGTATGCATGACCAGATCATTTTATACATGTATCTAAACACATTTTACCAGGGCTACGGTCAAACTATTCCCAATGGGACATTTTGTATCCCAACTCTTGAGACCTGTAGTGGGTACCCGGGTAGGGTCGGGTAATAGCTGGGTGGGTACCGGGGTAGTAAATTTGGACTCATCCCAGCCCTACTATCTAGCCATTATTGCCAACATAACTATCTGGATTCGGAAACCATATTTTCTGGTTGAATGAGCATTGTATTTTCTTCTATTAATTTCATCCAGAATATGGTATTTCAGGTTGACTGGTTCCCTACTATGTAGTGTTCCACACTGTATTTAGAAATAAGGTTTGCTCTATCCCATGTGTAGTGTAATAAAATATAGTTTTGTCCTGTACTATTATAGTTAAGCACGAGGACACTTGGGGTAGAGCCATTTTTATTTCTTTTCTAAGACGCCAAATTTAAGAGTAACCTTGTTTTATTGGTCCTCGTACTTTAACTATAATAGTTCAGGACAAAACTATAAATTATTACACTACACATGGGGGTAGAGAAAACTTTATTTCTTTTCTAAGATGCTGAATTTAAGATTAACTTTATGTTTGATTGGAGCTTGGTTTAAAATCAATTGACCTGTGATGTAAAGTGAAAATCCTTGAACAAGGTTAACTGACAGGCTCTTCCACCTACTAACATGAACCCTTTTGTTAAGGGACATATTTACGCTTTGAACATAATACAACACCACTAAAATGGGTAGTTTGTTATTTAAATAACGAGCTAAGAAATCTAAACAAATACAGCCTATAATATGAGTTGGGGTGTTTTCTGTCACACCAGCTGCAACGTTGTTTTTGCCACTGATGTTAGAAACTGCAAGCCATTAAATAGTGTGCTTACCAAGTTGGTTGCACTACATGATACCATATCTGACGTATATTGAAGACCTTGATATGGCGTCGGACGGACATGGTGGAGGAAGAGCAATATAGCAGCCATTTTGTTTGATTGCAGTAGGTTGCTAAATGCTGTACGCTGAGCAATAGGTTCACATGTGGTTATGAAGGTTATCAAGCATTGCTCCTTCCATTTTTTTGACTGGAGTGGCACGGACGCAATGGTTTGAATGTTTGTGACAAGTCTGTGGCATGAGAGAAGATTGACATCATCTTGCTGTATTTCTTCAAACATAATGATATTCAAATATAAGACAAGTTTAAAGAAACTATTTTGATGATCATTATATCAAATAGGGCAAACTTCCTGTCCAATTTATATGTCAGTAGAATCAAGCAATACCTAGGCTCTTTTGATAACAGACAATAATATGAATTATGAACTAAATTTTGTGTCACATCATTTTTAGTTTTTAAGAATGTTTTAGTTAATTTGAATTTATGTAAACCTTAAGGTTAAGGTTCCTTTCTAAGAATCATTTTTTTCTATTCCGAACTAATAAATAAAGTTTGGCAAATCTGTTTTGCCATATTTTAGACAAGAATACTGTGTTCCCTACAACCAAAGAATCAAGTCAAATCTGTCAATGCAAAAGAATACTATTTCAACTGTTTTACTGAGACTCACTATCAAGGTTAATTTAGAGAGGGATTTTTCTCCTGTCCTAAACTAAACTATTTCACGCAGGCTAGCAGCTAGCCAGTCAACTAGTTTAGAAAAATCTAAATATTTTTTTATATTTGTATACTTATCCTGCATTACTCCTTAACGCATTTTTTGTTGGGTTTTTTTTACAGAAAGCCGAAGCAGGGACAGGTCCAGCTGCAGCAGAATTTGTTCCAACTAGTTGTGTAGCAGTACCCTCGCACAGCTACCTTACCTGGAAGTGGTGAGGTCACAAAAGAGCACATTACTGCTTAAAACGTAATATTTGAAGACTTGAGACAACTTCGTGGGCACATAAATGAAGAAATGCAGGATAAGTATACAAATGTAGAAAAGATTTAGATTTTACTTAATTAACTTATCCCGCGTTACTCCTTAATGCATCTTTGTCAAACGGAACGGAGGTGGGCATACCTTCAGATGTAGCCCTAGTAGACAGTCGTCTATGTAAGACTTGAAGTGGATATCAAGGCTAATCAGGGAATCGTTGGCTTTGATTCTGGTCCTGAGCAGCCTCAAGGTGGTCATTCCAGGTGGCATCGGTTGAATATAACAACCTTGAGAATCATGCGAAGTTTTTCTGAATCCTTCTTGGAGACCAGAAAAACAGGGGAGAAGAATCCCGGATGTCGGACTGGGTCATGAACAATCTCGATGGCCTCCTTGTGGAGCAGAATATTTATACTGTTGCACAGGAGCTGCTGTTGATGGGGGTTGAAGGCTTCTGCCAGGGGTGAGGACGTCAAAGGAGGATTGTTTAGTAGTGCGAGACGGTACCCCTGTCAGAGGACATTGCTGACATACGCATCCTCCAGGATGGTCTAATTTTTCTAGAACCTGCCTAGTCTCCCACCTATGGGTGAGTCAGTACTGGAACGACTGCAGGGTGGGAGGACCAAGCTGTTACTGTCCATCAGTTCAACGTTTACCCTTGGATCAGTATCCTGACCTTGGTGTCAATCTCGGTGGGGTTGGTACTTTCATTGAGGTTTGCCACAGCCACGCCCTCTGCCGCGATACGATGAGGAGGACTGAGTGTGGTCCTTGAGGGAACTCGACGAGGCTGATAATTTCTTGACTTGGAGGGCTTGAATGACCCACGCTGGGAGACCTACTCTAAAGTTTTAAGAGCCGTTTCATCACTGGTGAAGCATATGTGTGTCTGTAATAGCGCTGTTGAAAAGAGTATGGCTGGTCCAAGGTTGGCATAATTGGTATGACATAACCGTCTGAAGGTGATCAATGGAGGTTGTCATCTAGGACGTGAGCTCCATCAGCCACTTCAAACGAATGGACAGGGAAGTCATCTCTCCTTTAGCGAGGTGCTTCAAAGGCGCGAGTGAGGGAGAGCTTCAAAAAGTCCTCATCCAGCGCCGAGGTGAGAACCGTCAACAAAGGTGTTGAAAGGGAATGGACATTGGGTGGGACCATATCGTGTCCTTCTTATTCACATACAGTCAGCAACTTGATTCAGATCTAAGTGAGTGTTCATGTCTGGAGTGGGAGGGCCATATCCGGAACGAAGGATTCTTCAGAATAGTCGGAACGATAGGTGCGATCCTTCTTACGGACAGGTGAATGGCTCTGTGACCAGCGGCCAGACCGAAACAACTTTAATCTGGGCCTTGAGGAGCTAGGAGACGCCGAACCATGCGACGATCTTGGACGAGATGTGGGTGTGGTGTCCAGAACCATGTGATGTTCTCAGACGAGATGTGGGTGTGGTGTCCAGAACCATGTGATGTTCTTGGATGAGATGTGGGTGTGGTGTCCAGAACCATGTGACGTTCTCAGACGAGATGTGGGTGTGGTGTCCAGAACCATGTGATGTTTTTGGACGAGATGTGGGTGTGGTGTCCAGAACCATGTGACGTTCTTGGGCGACATGAGGGTGTGGTGTCCAGAACCATGTGATGTTCTCGGACGAGATGTGGGTGTGGTGTCCAGAACCATGTGACGTTCTTGGGCGACATGAGGGTGTGGTGTCCAGAACCATGTGATGTTCTCAGACGAGATGTGGGTGTGGTGTCCAGAACCATGTGACGTTCTTGGGCGACATGAGGGTGTGGTGTCCAGAACCATGTGATGTTTTTGGACGAGATGTGGGTGTGGTGTCCAGAACCATGTGACGTTCTTGGGCGACATGAGGGTGTGGTGTCCAGAACCATGTGATGTTCTCGGACGAGATGTGGGTGTGGTGTCCAGAACCATGTGACGTTCTTGGGCGACATGAGGGTGTGGTGTCCAGAACCATGTGATGTTCTCAGACGAGATGTGGGTGTGGTGTCCAGAACCATGTGATGTTCTTGGATGAGATGTGGGTGTGGTGTCCAGAACCATGTGACGTTCTCAGACGAGATGTGGGTGTGGTGTCCAGAACCATGTGATGTTCTCAGACGAGATGTGGGTGTGGTGTCCAGAACCATGTGATGTTCTTGGATGAGATGTGGGTGTGGTGTCCAGAACCATGTGACGTTCTCAGACGAGATGTGGGTGTGGTGTCCAGAACCATGTGATGTTCTCGGACGAGATGTGGGTGTGGTGTCCAGAACCATGTGATGTTCTCGGACGAGATGTGGGTGTGGTGTCCAGAACCATGTGACGTTCTTGGGCGACATGAGGGTGTGGTGTCCAGAACCATGTGATGTTCTCGGACGAGATGTGGGTGTGGTGTCCAGAACCATGTGACGTTCTTGGGCAACATGAGGGTGTGGTGTCCAGAACCATGTGATGTTCTTGGACGAGATGTGGGTGTGGTGTCCAGAACCATGTGATGTTCTCGGACGAGATGTGGGTGTGGTGTCCAGAACCATGTGACGTTCTTGGGCGAGATGTGGGTGTGGTGTCCAGAACCATGTGATGTTCTCGGACGAGATGTGGGTGTGGTGTCCAGAACCATGTGACGTTCTTGGGCGAGATGTGGGTGTGGTGTCCAGAACCATGTGACGTTCTTGGACGAGATGAGGGTGTGGTGTCCAGAACCATGTGATGTTCTTGGATGAGATGTGGGTGTGGTGTCCAGAACCATGTGACGTTCTTGGACGAGATGAGGGTGTGGTGTCCAGAACCATGTGATGTTCTTGGATGAGATGTGGGTGTGGTGTCCAGAACCATGCGAGTAATTGAGTAATGCAGGATAAGTGAAAAAATTAAACGAATTATACGCGAGTGTTGTTAAATGGGGAAAAAACAGACTTTCTCAAATAACACAGCATTTTCTGACATATTTCTCTACAATATAATGCACTGACAAGGTATTTCTTACCTTCTGGGTCATATCTTGAAAATATATGTTTAGCATTTAACTCAGGACTCTCTTGTGTCACAAGGCTCTGTTCCTGGAAAATAAAACATTGGAAACATTGATCTGAACAAATGGAACAACATTACTGCAAGAAAAAATAATGTCATTAATCTGGAAATTCATCATGCTGACATTGGAAAAGACAAAAGAATTGAAACACAACAGTACTCATCATCTGTTCACAATATTTGAACTTTAGCTTGTAACAAGTAACATGATATTTATGACATGTTTGAAGATAAAAGTATTAACTTGATCAAGCTAAGGAGGCACTTTATGACTGATTCATTACTTTCATGTACTTTTACAAACACAGCAAGTTAAAGGGAGACACCTCTCAACACCTTTCAACAACCTTGCATTCAGTAGTCTGGAGGATGTGCAGAGCCATAATGCTGAGTTACAGCTAACAATTCAGATATCTTCAAAACACTGATTAGCTCCTCAGTTCTTATTTAAGACTTGACAAACTAGATGTCAGAGTTAATGATTTCACAATTATCCTGTGTAAAGCTTTGAGGAAAGAATGAAAACTGGCAAATTTAGCACTGATATGCTTTGTTTAGAATTTTCTGCAAATTTAAATCAAATCCCGGGCAAGCCCCCAAATCCTGCTTCGAGTTGATTCCCTAGTTGAAATGGGAAGGTTAACCCAGATATCTGTTCATACATTACAAAATTGTGACATCAGTAAATATGTTAAGTAAGTAAAAAAGATCAATAAATAATAATTTATTTTTTAGAGTAAAAATATCATTTATACTTATCCTGACTCATACTTATAACTTATCTCTCTCTCTTCCAAAAAGGTAGTGGAAACTTCCTGTGCTGTTCCCAAAGAACAGAGAAAACAGCTCACCCTAACGCACACTTGCTCCACACATGCTAACCGGGAGCCGGGACCAAGCCCAGTAACTTATCAGTCTCTCTATTTTCCTAGTTAATGGTCCGAAACACATCAGTGGAAAGAGGGGAAGGCCGAGAGGGTACTCATGTGTAGGAGTTAGGAAAAGTATAAATGATATTTTTACTCTAAAAAATACATATTTTATCTTATCCTGACTCATACTTATTGTTTGAATATCACAGTAGGTGGTGGGTTCCACCTGTATGTGTGATTAACGTCTATCTGTTCTATCAACCTCAAGGGTACGTTGTTAATCTTCTGTGTTATTTCTTTATTGGGGTACCACCTTCCTTTCTTTGTGAGCAGCAAAAATGGAAGTAAATCATATAGATTTGTGGATTTATAAGGTTTGCAAAGATTTGTTAAATCTTGCTTGCCTTAAACGATTCTAGTGTTAAGAGAAGATTGATAATCTTGGACCAAGCCCAGTAACTTATCAGTCTCTCTATTTTCCTAGTTAATGGTCCGAAACACATCAGTGGAAAGAGGGGAAGGCCGAGAGGGTACTCATGTGTAGGAGTTAGGAAAAGTATAAATGATATTTTTACTCTAAAAAATACATATTTTATCTTATCCTGACTCATACTTATTGTTTGAATATCACAGTAGGTGGTGGGTTCCACCTGTATGTGTGATTAACGTCTATCTGTTCTATCAACCTCAAGGGTACGTTGTTAATCTTCTGTGTTATTTCTTTATTGGGGTACCACCTTCCTTTCTTTGTGAGCAGCAAAAATGGAAGTAAATCATATAGATTTGTGGATTTATAAGGTTTGCAAAGATTTGTTAAATCTTGCTTGCCTTAAACGATTCTAGTGTTAAGAGAAGATTGATAATCTTAAACACAATCGTTATCACTCATGCACTGATTTACATAGTAAAACAAGGGAGCATGGTCTCTCAGTCGTTGGTTATGGAACAGTAACCTGACTTCCATGAGTCTGCGTGATTTGTGGGTGAGTGTATCTTGCCTATCTTCTGGTAGGTTTCGTGAGTTGCTGTGCAATGACAAGTGGTCCGAATTGAAGAATGTCTGCTACATCTTCTGTTGTGAAATCTCTGAGGTAATGATTGACGAAGACAGTATCAGATTCCCAGAAGCAGCCTTCTATGATTGATGGCATCGAGTAGTTGTCAAGAAGTGCTAGTATGGAGACATAGCTCTCACTTCATGAGGGTTGGAGGCTGATGGGGGATCCAAACCGCCTGCTCTGTATACTCTCAGAATGACAGCTCTCATCCAAACGAGATAGTTGTTCTGGATACTTCTGTGTGGTTATTCCTTTATAAAGGAATAAAAAGCCTCTTAAAACCATGTCTTCTAGGTTTAGACTTTTGTAGGTATATTTGTAAGGCTCTGACTGGGCCTAGGAATAAATCCTCTGTATCCTCTGAACCAAGGATGGAGGGGAGAGCCGGAACGTGGCATTGTCTGTCTGGTTGGTCTGGTAACTGGTTCTTTGCAATAAAGTCCTATCTTAAGCCAAGGTGCGCTGATGTGTTGTTGCCACTGTCAATGTATTGAGATTGAAGTCTATCGCATGGATTTTAGACATTCTAGCTGCCGTAGCTAATGCCAGAAGGAATAGGGTTTTCTGCGTCAGGTGTTCAAAGTCAGCCTGTTGGAGAGGTTTGTATGCATCACTGGTTAGGTGTTGTAGCACTATATTTAGGTCCCAGGTTGGGGCTCTGAAGGATCTGAGTAGGGCCATCAGCTCAGCATCAGCGGGAACTTTAGTAAGTTTTTCCCCCATTAGCCATAGTTAGTACAGAACTGATAGCAGGCAAAAAAGTGCTGACTGTCGAACCTTTAAGATTCCTTGTACTTCTTAAGTGACATAGGTAATCTGCTACTTGTGGTATAGTAGCTTTGGCTGCAGTAAAACCCTTGGATCTTGCAAACTGGTCAAAACTTTTCCATTTATCGTCATAGAGATTCCTTGTTGATCTACGAAGTGCTCTTTTAACGAGACTGCTCTTGACATGCTCCATATGTGAAGTTTGTATAAATCTGGTCTTGGATGGACCTGATTGGAGTGAAGATGTAGTAGATTTGGCCAGTTTCGAAATTTTAGCCTTGGAATCCGTGCTTGTTTGACGAGCTCTGGAAACTAGGTTCTCGTCGGCCAGTAAGGCCCTACAAAAAGTTGTAGGCTGCTAGTGTGGAGGATCTTTTGTAGTATCCGTGGTATCAAAGCTGGTGGGGGAAACGCATACACGTTTGGGCCCTCCCATGATATTGACAGAGCATTGACTGACCAGGCTAATGGGTCTGGCACTGGTGACAGTGTGTTATCTGATTGTTGAATCTGGTTGCAAATACGTAGGTCTATTTGTGGACAACATTTTTCTTTTATTGCCAGATGGAATGCTTTGGTGTAGCTTCCATTCTGTTGGTGATGGTTTGGCTGGTGTGGATAAGGAGTCTGCTAAGACATTTGTCGGTCCCAGTATATGTCTTGCTTTTAATGTCAAGTTCAGATTACCTACCAGCTCATAAGGTTGAAAAGTCAACTTCAGGAGGGTCTCTGATCGTGACTTGAATATTTATAGTGTATGCCACAGTTGAATTGTGTGTCCTGATCATCAGACGTTGGTTTCTTAACTGTGGGGCCCAGTGAAATATTGCACTGATTACAGCCTCGTAAATCCAGATAATTGATGTGGTAGAGCTTTTCTGCTTCTGACCATAGGCCCGATGTCACTTCTACCTTGAAGAGGGCTCCCCAAGCTCGAAGTGAGGCATCCAGGAATAGGTGGTTGTTGTAATCCGGCTCATTTAAACAAGTTCCTGCGCAAACAATTGATTTCACTGTCCATCACAAGAGGTATTTCCTCAAAATGTGTAGCAATCGGAATCTGAAATCCTGGTTCCCTAGGTAGGCATTTAGAAAATCTGTGTAACCTGTCTCGGATGATCAACGCTTGGGCTGATGTGAGTAGGCCCAGTATCACTTGCCATTCGTTGCTGAGACTTGATTGTAAATTGTTGCTGGCAGGTAATTGTTTTCTTTTATCTGCCGATCTTTTGATGCTTGGGTTTTATTCTGGCTCATTGGAAACCTTGAGACCTGACCCAAGGGAATTGAGATCATGGAATGGTTGTAAGTCAGACTTCTGAATATTAATTAACAAACCTAACTGAGTTAATAATTTCAGGGTGAAACTCAATTGTAGTCTGAGCTTATTGTTGATACTGGGGCTTGAATCCCTTCGTCCAGGTAAAATGCACCACGGATTCCCCATGTAACGAAATGCCACAACTGGTTTGGTCACTCGTGTACATTGCCATGGGGTCGAAGCAATTCCAAAGGGCAGGAAAGCCTATTGGTAATGTTGGCTTTTTTTAATAGATATTTCCTGGATGCTGGATATATGGGAGCATCTTGAAGATCGATACCCAACTAATCTGATCAGAGATCGTTGGGTTTGTTCAGTGGCAGTGACAATGAAGCATGGTGTCTCATTGTGAAAATACTCAGGCCTGTCGTCATTGGCGGTCTACTAAAATCAGTGATCCAATCCCATTGATGTATAGCAACATGTGTGTGATCGTGTGGTTACAGTATTACATCTAAATAATCATGCGAACCGATCTGTAAAGTGCACTGCACAGCTCATATTAGATCAATTATGACCTAATCTCAGCATAATCGGGTTTGTTTACAGGCGATGAAATCTTGACACGTGACATGTAAATCCCTCCTGTGCAGAAATACCGCATTCTGCCGGGGTGGTGTGAGCTCCAATGCTCCATACACTGACAATGCAATGTGAGCTCTATGATAGGTGGACAAAGTCATGAGTGGAGTTCTGAAGCGTAACGGTGTGTATCAGGTCCGAGGAAATCTGTGACGTTTCCGGTGCAGTAGTAGTTGGATTCCCATGACATTTGATGCATGTAAGCAGCTATGTGAAGCTTTTCGATCGCATCATTGGTATTTCATATAAATGTCCCAGTTGCAGTCCATATTGTTTTGATTGGCCATGACTGACTGATCCCTCTTAGTACAGGTACACCGAAGCGATAATGTACTGCAATCACTATAGTGGGGTCTGGATCCCTAGGTGAGAATCATGATTCCGGAATTTGAGTACCCGATAGCACATGGCTATTGTGCTGACTG